TGACAGGTAAGGGGTGTGGATTTAAAGTCGGTTGTTTTGATTTGCAAATACATACATACACATACTACATAGGTGTAGTACTTTAGGCTGATGCAAAATATATTTTTCTTTCAAGCTCCCCCAGTACTGAAACACATTAGGAAGTTGCCAGAAAGCTTTCGTGAACTCGGTTTTCTGGCAAGGTATGTGAAAATGAGCGAATAAAATCGGTTCTCTCTTTGTTAGAAGTTGCAAGATTTTACCCGAATAATTTTTGTCTGTAAAATCTGTTAAAGTGTCAATCCATCAGCTGTTCAAGCGATTTGAAAGCTGAATAAGCAAAAACAAAAGTGCATCTGCATTCTCACCTTAATCAATATATCTTAGCGAAGAAATATCATGTTTTGTAAGTATTTTTGTTAATTTGCTTGTGTAGTATTTGCATATAATTTAGCAGATCGTCAAATGATAAAACAGACAGACATGGCTAGGTCGACTCAGATCGACGTTCTGATCATTTAGGCACACATTTTCCTCTGTATTTTTGGATCACCCTAATATACGTGCAAACATATGTGCATTCAAACTCTTTCCCGTATAGTATAGACAGACGACGCTGTCGATCTGAACAAAATTGTTCCTTACAAACGTCAGTATTGCGTTTCGAATCCTACAAGGTTTTATTTTCTATATCCTATATTATTACTTTTATATTTTTATTGTAATTATAGTTTTTGGTGTCTCTTTTTATAAAATGTAACTCTGAAAATTTCATTTACAGTACGGCCTCGGCTAAAGCAACATCCAAATGTTTACCATTAGCGAATCAGCAGATGGAACTTTTCTCACAAAATTGTGCCTCAGTAAACGCCACTTTTTATCCATAATTTCTTATTTCTGTCAATTTTTGTCTTCATTGGGCTAAATAAAACTCGGTTTCAGTAGAAGACACCTTAACTCTTCAATAGCTGGAGAGTCGGCCGTCGACTAAAATACAAACGAAAACATCGAATTTATAGCATATACAAAGAATATTTTTTTAGAGAATTAATTTGTATACTTTTGTTTTGTTTTACTTTAATTTTTAGGTAAAATTCTCATTTCAGACTGAACTTTTTTGTAACTCGGTTATTTCAACAACCTCAATCAAAGCAACTCTCCAAATTTTTTTCAGTTGCTTGTATCGGTGGTGTACTGTAATGCGAAATAACAAAACAACAAAATAAAAAAAAAATCAAACTAAAAACAATATAAATAAAAAGCCAAAACGATTTTCGGAATGGGATTCGAACCAGGGCGCTACTGAGTTTTAGTAAACAGTGCCGACCGACCACACGGCTACCTGGGCTCAAAGAGCGCTGAATACACAAAAAAGCATCTAAATTTAGCCTGGACATCCTTCTTGCCGGCACTTTTGCGTTCTCTATTTTAATTCATATAAGGGTTTTATTAAATTTTCATTCGATTTCTATCTGTTCTACGTTCTATAAATTTTGTTCAGTGTTCTCTTCGAAAATGCCCCCAACTCCCTTTACTCTAGGACTTAATCGGGATCAACTGCAGTTAATTCCTGAGATAATTCCGAGCTAAAAAGTTGATCTGGATCAGCGCTGCCGTCTGTCTATGCTTTTACGCCTTTGCGAAAGCATTTGTACATATATGTGTATGTACTTCGTCACTTTAAACATTTAAAGTTGTTTAGACATGAGATTTAATTCGCTTGCATGTGGTAGAGTGTTCCAATTTGCATTGCTACGCACACAAATTCATGCAAAAGTAATCAAATTATACTACATATATATGTATATTTTTTTGAAAGTATGCAAAATGTGTTCTCTTACATATTTTAGTATATACATACATACGTGCATAGGTATATTCATATATACATATTTACTTCATACATATGCAGCTGTAAAAAGTCGCGACTGCCGCTGGAGTCTTTCGTAATTCGCCTGCCATCAAGCTAACAATTTCATTTTGCTAATGCAATTCGAAATACTTTGGCCTCATTTTTTTTTGTGGTAATATACCTACTTACATGCATGCATACATACTTACTCATATGCAAACATACAATCGTACATTCATTGGCATACAAATAGGAGAGAGATTATAAAGTAGCGTTAGCGAAAGATGGCAAACATTTTATTTCCACAAAATACATACTTACATATATAGTACATACTTATGTATGGGTGTATGTATATATTTACATATGCATTTATATTGGCGCGACGTGTGAATTGCTTTTACTACATAGCAAAAAGTTTAATCTGCTCATGAATGTACACATATTTATATATTGTGTGTATATACTTAAACGTATATGTGTGTGTGTATATACCGAAATGTGTTTGCATGCGCATTACCCACTTTTTTTGGCCTTTTAGCTATCTGGATTACTACTTTTCGTATGAGTAATTTGGTGTGTATGCAATTGTAATGAAAATTTATTGCAGCAAGTTCTTTATGCCACACATTTCAAATGGCATTTAAAATTTTAATGTTTTCGTGTGTAAGTTTTTAATACTAAAATATCATGTGATTGCTTTGCCAAGTGCAAATGTTATTTATTTATTTTTTCGTTTTTTTTCTTTTGCACAAAAACTACACTAAAATTTATGTGCACTTTAGATTTAATAAACAAATTTAGCAAAGTTTTTATTAAATAGTTTTGTTTTTAGTATTTTTTTTTGTTGGCACCACATTTACGTCTTGTTGTAAAATATGCTTTAATAAATAGTCGAATAGCCGAAACTCCTGCGCCGTAGCTCATTAGGTTGCTTGTGGTGCATCAATTTTATGTTAGGCTTGGTTGGAGGGGCTGCCGGTTTGCGTGGGGTACTTGGATATTTTTATACTTACATACATATGTATGTCTTATAAGGCTATTTTGAGACACCTGAAGGAAATAACTTGATTTAAACCTACGCTTGCCAGTTGTTGAAATTCGACAATTTTTTCATACACTTTTAAATTTTGCTTGTCACCAATATTGCGTCCTTTATTCGAATGACGATTTTGAAGTCCACCACCAAAATTTATAGCAAATTTACAGGAAAGCTTAAAACCCAATTTCTTAGTAGCTTTCGAAATTATACCAAGAAAGGAACCCAAATATCCGTTTACAAAAAATATGCATATGTATTTGAATGTATATATAAATGTGATGCCTAATGGTTCCTTACTGACTATTATGTAAAAGAAACACCAATTCAGACTGTAAATACGTTTTTCGATTATATTGGTCTGAGAGCCTCTTAGAAGGTTAAAACTAAATTGCCAACATCTACTTAAAATCCTTTTTCTTTTCATCAAAATCCATAGAGGTTAAGAAAGTACCTCGAAGGTGTAAAACAAAATATAATATCCTTCTCTAACGGAGGTTTTACATGTGTTTCTGTCAAGATTGGCCTAAAGCCCAATATTTTTGAATCAAACGATTGGGCTACCAAGTCGCACCAGACTTTATGTTGCCATTATGTGTTCTAAAGATGAAGCAAATCTGACCATAAATTTTAAGAATAGCTCTCAATTAGAGATGACCGCGGGATATCGGGACCCGCGGGTCCCACAGTACTGATTTAAAAATAGTCGGAATAGGCGGTATCGGAAAGGTCTAAAACATTTTACGGACGAAACGTGACCAAAATCCTTTCCCTATACTCCCGATAAAACCGCAAGCTCCGCAAATTCCGAAAATCTTCCTTAAAAAATTCGTATGAAATATGCCCCGTTTATGTTTTATTGAGACGAAAACGAACAGCAAAGCAAAACAAAATAATCGGAGGATGCCAGATCTTTCACAACATTTTTTCATTTTAAATTAATTTGAAAGACATGTGAATTTTTTTAGAGATAGATTTCGCGACCCCCGGGCTCGCGGTACAATTCTGAAAAACGTCGGGATGGGCGGGTTCGGAACTTAAAAATTGAATTTCGGGTTGGGCGGGATCGGGGCTCAATATTTGGTCTGTACTCTTACTCCCTGCGCCACCTAACGGAAGACAAACCCACTGATCCTTTTGAAAATCATTACACAAAATAACAATCATTCAAAGCGATTCAGAAATCTGGTAGAAAATGGTTCCCAATTGAATGAGTCTTGCCATTTTATATGCATATAGATGTAGGTGTATCAAATTCTATTACCTTATCATAAGTGGTTCCACATATAAGCGATATGGTAACAGCATTTTGTATGCGAAAAATACACATCACTTCAGAACGTTAGCCTCAGCGGTTACACAGCTAAGCAACATGAGGAGTTCAGTTTGTATGGTAGGTGCCTCGCCCACTTTTTTAATACTTACCACTTTTCGCTCTAAGCACGTTATTGATAGCGGAAAAAGCTGCGTCAAATTTCAGGACGGTAGCATAACCGGTTCCAGAGAAAAGCGATATGAGAATTTCAGTTTTTATGGGAGGTGCCACGCCCCCTTTTCCAGTATTTACCAGGGTATTTATAATCTATGCATAAGTGCTAAGTTTCAGTCCCCCAGCATAATTCGTTTTAGAGATATAGTAGTTTTTACATTTTGGTCTGTATGTCAGATGCCACGCCCTCTACATATCGGGGTTAACATTTCTGGATTAGAGGAAGTTATAGCCTTTAAATCGGTGTTCCAATGAAATCGAGCGAACGGTGCTCTCATCAAAGGGAGTTCAAAATTTGTTTGTGTCGTACCTATTTGTATTTAGATGATAATAATAATAGATTGACGCTTACATAATATGTTAGTGTTTGGCCGAGCTTTTCCTCCGAAGTGTGGCGTGCGCTTTGATATTGTTACACAAAGGGGAGGGACCTGTAGTTGAGGAGGAAACCGTAGAGAATTATATGAGAAATAAGCAGACGTAAGAATAGAATATGGTTGTTCACGCCTGCACAACAACAAAATATACTGCAGAAATTTTA